ATACACACATACATACATACATATACATACATACATACATACATACATACATACATATACATACATACACTTGCCATAACCTGTTTGCCTCTATTCCCACTAGAACAAAAGGAAACATGCTGACCAACCCCGCCAAACGTGTGTGCTATCTAACCCAGGAAGCGCAAGCGCGAGATCTATGAGGAGGTTGATAGCGATGCTGATTACGAGGACAGTGACGCGGAGCTCGACCTCGATGTTTTCGGCATGGGCTGGGGCCTGGGTGAGGGTGGGCCCCAAGGCGCCCAAAGCTGAAATTAGATAGCCTTTCCATGTGTGTGTTCGATGCATGTAGTGCCTGTTTCTGCAGAGCGATGTGTTAATCGAATCAACTAGAAAGGCTTTGGTCAGCAATTGTGAAAAAACATGTAGAAGAAGCTCTGAAACTTCTCTGCCGGATAGTTTTTGATATTCTTTCTGCTGAGGTGATGACAAGACAGTGGCCGGGGCGGACAAGGAGGCCGACGCGAAGAAGAGGTTGAAGGCCATTAGTTTCCCGGACATGGATGCGGATGGTTTGCCCTCCAGCTACATCATCAAGGTGGTGAACTGCCTGGGCAAGTGGGCCGCGAAGGTTCAGGCTGTGACAGACCAGCTTGCGGAGGTGAAGAGGTCCCAGAAAACTGAAAAGAGACTTGGTGTGTATATGAGTCTGCCGACTTGTGCCCAAAACACGTGAACCGGAAGTGTCAACCAAAATAAGGCTGTGTACGATCTTCTGTGTCAGTGTTCCAAGTTTGCAGCCTTGCTGTGCTCACGCATGAGGATCCAGAAGAGGGCCGCAGACATTGCCGCCGGCATCGAGAAAACGACGGAGGCGATCCAGAGCAAGCAAGCAGACAGTGTGCTGAACGATGTCGGGTTCACGCTAGCGCCCCTTGCATGCAATCATTTGTACTCACAACGGGAAAAACATGTGTGGGTGTGTATGTGTGTGTGTGTGTCTAAACATGTACATGCCTGTGTTTGCAAATAGAGTTACTTCAAGTTAGCACAGCTACTCGCAACTACTCGCCGTCTGTCTCAGTCGCGTGCTCTTCGGGTGTTAACAACGTGAAGTTTCGATTGTAGGTTCTTCGGGGGTTGCTATATTTAGGATGGCTTTATATATAAGGAAATCCTGCAAAATCCAGCCGCGCAAGTATTATCCGGATATGAAGCTACAAGTGGGCTAGGTCTGGCTGCACCAAGAACAAAGAAACCATGACAGGCCGAAGTAAACAAGGAACGATGCACACCTTAGGAATTCTCTTAGCTGCAGTACTTTGTCTACTTATAGAGGCACCAAGCGGCAACCCCGAAGTCAGCTAAGAAACCCTGT